TGTGGTTTATTTTAATGTTATTTTTTTGTTGTGAAACTTGCATATATTGACAAAATGGAATTTCCGAAATGCTATACTCCACCCTATATATGTTGACTCGTATTAAAACCATTTACAATATCTATTTCTGTCAGACAGTATAGACAATATTTCTGTTTTGTATCGTCAATTGTAATAACTGTTTTGTAAAAAAAAAAAAAAAAGTAGTTTTATCACTAATGTTTTTTATTTAAATTTTGTTTCTGTATTCATCAATAAGTTGCTGCATTAAAAAATTGTTTACATAACCAATACTTAAATAATTTTATCACTATAGGTATAGATATTTAATTTTTTCCAACCTCTAAAATTTGACTCCCAGATATTTTTCCCAGTCACCCCCCTTAAATAATTCATCCAAAATAAGTTGAATGTTAGGTAAATAATTCTTCGGACATCATGATACCACAAACACAACTGAGGTGGCAACTCGAGTCTTGAAGTGCCAAAAGCCAAAACTATTAATTAGTGATAATTATATAAAAATGAGTATTTTGTATTGGTCGATGCTTAACTGCTAAAGAATAATTATTGCTTAAGCTAAAGTTATGACTCAAATGAGATTCATAAATGAGACATTGCCACTTTGGCTTAAGAAAAGAAAAAGTATTAATTAAATTAAGGTTGGTCGAGACTTACCTTAAACATGGTTTTTACTTTTTAGTTATTATCACAACTTTTTTATTTTTCAAATTATCTAAATTAGCTTAATCAATACTTATCGTCGTTGACAAAAAAACCTCCAATGTGCTTAAATCTAATTTTTCAGGAAAGACGAAAAACGTTTAAAAAATCCCAAATCCTCAATGATTAATGAAAATACATTTAAAAAATGTAAAAAACATAACATTTTACTCTGAAAAAAATTGAATGAAAAAACTTAATATAAATGTATTTATTGAACAATCTGTCAATATTTCATCACATAGGAGATTATGTTAATTAATCTTTTTTGCCAAACAGTACATAGGAGGTTCTTTGAATAATAGTTGGTTCCAGAGAAATATGTATTTTGAACGATTTAATATAAAAAAAAACTAAGTTTGTGTTATCTAAGAAATAAATATTTAAAAAAAAAAATATAATTGTATATAATACTTATCATAATAAAACAAAATAACTTTAATGTCATTTATGAACATGGAAAAATCTCCCATGTGCATACTTCATACACGATCTACTCTGTATGCCAATATCTCCAATGTAATTTTGACCAAATTTTTAATCACATAGGAGGTATTTCATAATATATTAATATGTATTTCATTAATTCTACAATGGAGATAGCACATTGGAGTTTTTATCAAAATGACCGCATTTTTTTTTTGAATCCATGGATACCAATATATTAAAATCGCAAATTTGGCACATAGGAGGTTTTTTCGTGTCAACGACGTTATCTTAAGCATCGAATATGAATACGGCCCTGAGATTTGTTGCGTTATTAAAAATTCTAAATGCCAAATAATAGTCAGGTAGAAATGGGATTTAAAATTGAAATACAAGATGCAATTGTATATCAAATACTGTTCATATAGAACAGTAAACCCTGGTCATATAGATAGCTTTAAAACAAGGTATATAATTACTATAATATTAGGTACATATTGTTATGATATACAAGCTCATTAAATGTCCAATCTTTAAAATTACTAATTAGTTCGATAAGCATTCAGATCACTTTATAATCGATACAAAAATAATAATAATAATGCATTTTGAGATTGGCAAACTCTCATTTATGTATACCATAAATCTAAATTTTGTAATTCCGTCGGGACCCGTTGCGGGTGTGTGCACTATGTCAGTAGCAGTCGTATAATATATTATTACAACGTCACATAATGTGTATCATACGTATTATTTTCGACTTTAAAATATTTATTTCTTTGCAAATATATTGCGTTTATTTTCATCTCTCGATATTTGTACTCCTGAAGAAAAAAAACCATATACATACGGTATAATACAATAATACCGAATTGTGTATAAAAATATATGCATACGATCCATTATTATACCTAGGTATACAATATTATGTAATTGTAGTATGTATATATAGTTCACGATGCAGGTAATAGAGCGTATAACTCTACGGTATCGAGTATATATTTATTGTATTTATACATATTGAGTTGGTGTGTGTGTGTCGAGGGTGGTGGTGGCGAAGGGGTTGAAAAGTTGCCCGGGCTCTTATATAATATACATCGTACTCTATATTCATATTATAACAGCAGTAACGACGCATATTCATGCATATTTATGGCAACGAGTTTCCCGGGCATATAATAATAATAATAATATACATTACCTGTACACAATATTTTAATATACACATATACATATAGTTATAACTCTCGACGTTATATAACATTATGTTAGACGTGCTCATATTATATAGGTACTATACACACATTTAAACTATAATAATATGCATATTATACATTTTTAATTTTTTTTAGCTAAAGATAACGAGCGAAGCGAAGAATGTCGACATTTTTTATTTTTCTCGTAACCTACGTAAATAGTTATATAGTTGGCCCTGTTTGTTATCATTCTTACTGTAATAAAATTAATAACGAATATAGTCTTATCTTTCAATTGGGAGCTTAATCTAGTCGGGTAAGGTCTCGCTTATTTTTGTCGAATTCCACTCTGGTTCAAAATATGTAATGTTTTTTTTAATTGCACTCGATGCCTTTCATTACATAAAGGTTAAAACCTATTTCCTAAGGAATATTAGTCGACGGTCTGAAGAATAATTTGTATTCAATATTTTAATAGCTAAAGTTTATTGTTTTTATCATACCTATACCTACTAGATATGTACAATTTAAAACAAATAATATCAAAATATTTATGTTTATTCCTAAATTAGTTGTGCCGTTTAATAATGGCATTGTTAATACTAAATCGATTGACACTGGTCAGTGATCATCACATGCAATTGTCAACTAAAATTATAACTTCCTACACCCGTGTGATCTAATGATCGGATCGAGTGCAATTCGAAAATTTCAGTTTACGTACCTAAGTAATGAAGTTCGACAATCCCCGTCTAGTAGGTTAGCTGGTGAATAACTAGCTAATTATATATTAGCGGTTGGCCTGAGTATACAAATTAAAAATTACTCACAAATTGTGGATGGTGAAATTTACAGAATATTAACCAGTTTTTTAACGAAATTTTGTAACTTGAGTATTTTATGTTATTGGAATTTAAAAATTAACAACCCTTCATAATATAGACGTTTTTACAAATTATTTATTTTAACATATTTGCAATTCAGTTGACAAAGACTGAAAGGAAATTTAATCACTTTTAGGCTTCTAAGTTTAGAATTTTCCTTGAGTTTTATTATTACAGAATTTTTGATTGCAAATGTCATACATGGTTAACCAAACGTTATATCCATTTATTCTATCCATAATAATTAAAATCAATGTCAACATGTTTTTTTTATAGTGCACTATGGTGTAAAGTTTTAATGGTGGTGAACTGGTGAATTTTTAACATAATTAGGGATGGGCCGATATCCGACACCCCGATATCTGCTACCGATATAAAATCAATAACCCTCGAAATATTTAAAAGCAAAACTTTTGACCAAAACTATGAACCGATATTAAAATAAAATCGATACCACAAAGCACAAACTAATTGTAACCTCAAAACCCATATTTTTTAGATTAAAGAATATTTTAATTTAAAAAAATAACTTTATTTCCTTATTTCCTCTTAAGCAATTAACAAATTGTTAATTAAATAACATATACACAATACAGAAATGTTCAAATAAAAGTTGAGATACAATTTAAATTAAAATAAATTGTAAATATGTAAAATAGAAAAATAAATAATAATATCAAATATTAAAAAAATCTAGGGAAGTCGTCCTGCTAAATACCTATGTATAGGTACCTCGTCATTGAGTAGGTCACCAAAATAGTTGTGTTGAATTTGAATTAAGTAATAAACCATTAAAATATTGTATACGAAAAACGATTCTGAACGAGACAGTCGGTCAGCCAATACCGCTATTACTATGGATACCTACCTATTTTATTATTGCTATAAGCAATGAATGTAATGTACTCCTGTTGTAGGGGTTTTGTAAAGACTAATCATTAGTCCTTTTTCCCAAATGTTTAAAAATTGTTATCATTTTGTTTAAACCGAAAGAAGCAAACCAAGCTAGAAAAAAGCGATTTCCCATCATTCAGGAATCGTCTTAGATCGACAATGACAACATATACTTGATTGTAAAATCTCATAATCATGTGAAAATTATTATTTTAAGTCAATCAAAATAATGTAATTTAACATTTATAGCAAAACAAGTCCTCACATATTTAAAGCTTTAAACTAAAAATCTGTATACATACTATATAATATTGTATTCTGTATTTTATACTTTATTATATTTTATGAGTTCAACATTTTTGAAAATGTATTCTCACTGAATGTTTAAATTTTTAAAAGGGTAATGGAAATGTGTTTTTAATTGTACTCATGTAAAGGTAGGGTCGTAATGTTTTTTTTTTTACAACTTACAACTTTTTATTAACTTGTAGTGGGCAGTAGAGTGTGTTTACGGGGAGGAATGTATAGGGTCCACCATACCGCTCCCCATAACCAAAGGAAAAACTCACACGTCATTGAGAGGAGAGTACAGTGAATGCTATAAATGCACTAATGAATGTGTTACATTTTCATTCAATGATAAGTAAATGCATAAAAAAAACGATTCCGAGCGTTCTGACCGTCTGTCAGACTATATTACTAAATAATATATTGTATTACATATTTTTATATTGTTTTTAGTAATTCGTTTTTCTATTAGTATAGTATGGTAGGTGGAACAAATTTTCCCTAAAACAAAAATCATATGTTTCATTTGATAATTACTAATTTTATTATAACTCTCGGTCTTACATTAAATATTAATCAATGCCGGTCAATGATGTTCGCCAGAAGTCGCTCTCTTATTACTTACCCGTACACTTTGAATGGCTCTAATTTGATTCCTGTTTATTCTGGCATTTGTGATCTGAACTTTACTTTTACTTCTTTTCTTTGTTCTCGCGCCCACATCGATAAAATTACTTGCAAAGCTCTAGAGGTATTGGGTTTCGTTAAAAGAATATCTGGTGATTTTAAACCCACCACCTCTCTTAAATCCATCTATTGTGCACTTGTACGGCCAATCATTGAATATGGGATCCTCAAACAGCTGATGCCTGTTTACAACTATAACGGGTTCATCATAAATTTTTATGCTTTATGGAACATGCCTTGAATATAAACTACGTATCTCATGATTATACTCCCATTCCCCGTCTTCTTAACTTATCCTCCTTAGCTGACCGTCGCCGATCTCATAATCTTGGTTTTCTTAATAAGCTCTTATCAGGCTCTGTCGACTTTTATTCCATTCTTTCTCTAATTAACTTTAAAGTTTCTGTTAGGTGCACCCGCACCACACATACTTTTTTTTCATTCCTCACTGTCCTACTAATTATTTAAAAAACGAGCCCATTAACCATATGATTAAGTTAGCCAATTATTATCCATAATTTCTTCCATAGAATTATGATACTATATTATAATCCTATTTTATTTTGTTTTTTTTTATCTATCACACTTATTTCTATGTTCCACAATATTATAATATGTATCTTGTACTATTTTGTCAACATTACACCATAATTGTAACCTGGCCTCACGCCCGTTTATCTTTAATAAATAAAATAAATAAATATTACTAGCAGCATATTAGTCAATAAACCATGGAACGGTGTAATTAGGTTTTCGTGGTAAAAATATTTTAAAATGAAAATAAATATTATTTTTAAAATTTCATCGTGTATTTAAATAATAATATAGGCAATCAACGTAATGGCAAAATGTTTCAAGTTCAAATTGTATATATTTTTTAATTACAACAAAACAAAAACAAAATTTTATTTTTCATTTAAATATTTAATATTCAATTTAACCCAAAATGTAACTGGAAATAACTTAAAAAAAAAATTAAACATTAATAATATATAGATATTAATATAATATAATATGTATTTTTGTTTTTGTTACAATGCTGTAAAATTAAATGTTCATAAACCTTGATTTTAATTATCAAGCTATTAAAATTAATAATTATATGGGTTTTAACTATAAAATAACTGGCAAATTGTAGGTAGACATTTTAACGAATTTTGTCAAAATTTGAAATATAAATACTAATTCAATAATGCGAATGTGTTTTAATATTTTTAAACTGCTATAAGTAAATCTCATGTGGGATCTTGTATTAAATTGTCAAGTTTTTTGACTGAGGCTAAACAATTGTATCAACAATAACACTTTAGAATTGGAAAATTTCGAATGATTGAATAACAGAATGATATTTTGTCATAATTATTTTTAATAATATTAATTATTACTGCTGTTTCAGTCCATTTATTAACACATTTATTTTATACAAACTTAAGTTTTTGACTGTGTAACAGAATGATATTTCATCTAAATTATGTTTGATATATTTTTATAAATCGATTAATTATAGCTATCGCAGGAGGTTCCAGTACAAGAGTAGGTAAGTGGTATAATATTGACCCTCTTAGGAGTGAATAATATTTTTGAAATCGGGAGGCAATTCAGGAAATCTTTAAAAAAAAAAAAAAATTCAAGGAAGGCAATTCGAGGATCAGATGGGAGGAAATTCGGGAGCGCCCGGAAGTAGAACACGTTTATAATCCTATATTGCACGTGTGTTAGACAAAGACAGAAAATTGCAGCTTCCAATCCCCTTAAGATATCTTAATAATCTTAAATCTTAGTATACCTTAATTCGTGGTTATCAGTTTATGATTATGGTAATACATTCGTATTACTATAATCCACAGCACACCGGATAATGTATAAATTAATTAAATAATACATATTTCATTTGGATAATGTATACGTTACACTTTTCATATGGATAAGGTTCACATTATCTGGGTAATATGTACATTAACCGTTTTTGGACCTCACCCGTAACATAATAATAATATAATGCAATATAATACATTTGAATTTCGTTAAATTTAAAATTCAATCCCGTGTGTAAATATTTTATATTTATGTTGTTTCAATGTTTTGATAAAGCCGAGGTGGGGGGACCACTTCCCCTCCGCCACCCTGCACTAACTACATAGGTACCTACTATTTTTACATTACACTCATAAAATGAAAAATATTATTTCTTATTGTAAAAAAAAAAATAATAAAAATATAGAAAACATTGATTATATAAATTATAAATTATTATTAAAATAGCTATACTAGATTTTTAAAAATTAATTTCTGATTAAGATCCTAACCTACTATTCATTTATGTTAAAAAATAGAATGACGTCTTCTTCAACACACAGACAAGTTAAAGTATAATGTTGGCTTATCGAAGATATAGGTTTTGTTTTTAAATATCTATTTCGAAAATATACTTTTACACTTAACTTAATATGTGCATTGAAATATAAGAACGTAGGTAGGTATCTATTTGAATGCTATGTATATAAATATATAATATGTTGAACAAAAAAGACTTATATTGTTACAAAGTCCAATGTTTACAAATTGACTACCTATAATATTATATTGAAACCCCAGTCACGGCTCATAAGTGATTTAAATATACATTTTCCTATTTGGCTATGAGCCCTCAAAACCCAATATTGAAAAATATTCAAGAGCCCCCGGCGATTGTTGGATAGCCGGGTGGGCCGACCGACACTGCTTCAATCGCTCATAAAAATGTAAATTTCTTTACACTAAACTTTTTATATTAAATCCCAATAAATAAAACATAAAAGGAATTTTGTATTGAATTTTCAAGTCCTATAGGTATTAATAATATAAAAGCGGGTAAGAGGAAGTTGCTCTGGTGTACAAAATATGGGTCACTGTAATGGATGGTGTTAAATTTGAATTCAATGATATAAAATACTTGTATGTATACGCAAAACGATTCTGAGCTATGATAGTCCACCTAAAATATTATTTAGTATATTTGATGATATTATTGTGAGTAAAGTAATTTATTTAACTATTAAACATTAGTAGAAACAACAGTAGGTTACATTCATTTTTGCCAAAAAAATTACATTTAAAAATGTCATTGTGTACATAAAATATAATAATATACTCTAAAAGTTTCATATACCCATGAATAATATTTTTAAATTTCAACAAAATAACTAAAATCGTTATTCTTGGTTTTAATATGTAATTTCGTCCAAATTTGATTAAAATAACTGTAAAAAATAACTGTTTATGTATTTTTTAAATTTGTTGGATACAGTATGAACTATTTATGAGATTCCTTATTTTAAATGTTCATATTTTAGGTATTCAGAGAAATGTTTTTATGAATATCTGACTACAAAATAATTTGCACATTTTCGAGATTATGATGAAAGTTTAAATGTCTATAAAAAAAACTCAAAACTAATCAAAATATATTGGAATTGTGCCTATGTATTTTTAATATATTTACTGCTATTTTATAAGCTTATAAGAAACTTTGAATTACATTTTAAATCTTTTTGAACAAATAAAATTTCATTCACATTTATAGAATAAAAGATTTTATATGTTTATAAATAACTCAAAATGGGTCAATATATATTATAATTTAGAAAATTAGAATTAGAAAATAAGATGTAAATTGCAAGAACCTAAGGTTAGTATTTGAAAAACAACAAAATAAGAAAATCGTTCTATGAAAATTTGTTAATTTGCGAGTGATTATTCAATGACTAACTTCAAATGCTCATGAAAAATTAATTTGACTTTCCTGTCTAAATGTAGAAAACATAAGGGGAATCTTGTATGGAAATTTCAAATGCTGGATAAAAATAGAAATTTTTTTAAGAATTTCTAACATTAAATAATTTGCCAATTTTCGTGTTTTTGATGTATTTTGTCAAAATGTTGACTTAAAATAATTATGATGGACTTACGCTTATCTTTTTTTTAAATTCTGCTAACTTCAACTTATGAGAAACTTTGTATTACATTTTCAAGTTGGACTGATCGAAAAATGTTGTATTGGCAATAATTAAAAAAAAACTAACTAAACTCGACATTTTCTTATGCCTATAAATAGCTTAAAAAGAGTCACCAAATTTCAAAAATGTTATGGTGAATAGAAATTGCTATTATAAACATTCAGTGAAAATGTCATCTATATTCGGTTGTTTTTAAGTTACTTTAAAAAACAAAATTGATTTTTTCAAAAACTGGTTTTGTGTAAATTCTCAGTTTTCCTTATTTTTTTTATTTTTTTTCCTTACTCTTTTGAAAACTATTGAGTATTTTTAGTACTCCAAAGTACTAATTAGAATCACTTTCCTAACAGAAAAGAAGCTGTTGAAGAAAATCGAAGCATTTTCTATCTCAAAAGGTAATTACAGACCAAAAAAAAATACACATCATTGTAAAATCAATACATTCATTGCTCCGCTCAGATTCTAAAATGTATGAATTTTAATACAAAAGTATTCACATATTTTATTCATTTTTATCAGTAAAAATTTGAACTATAAACGCTTGTAAAAAAACATGATGACTGTATGTTTGATATTTGTTTAATTATTTCCGTAAGAACCACTTATGTGCTATGAGGATCCTTGAGAACCTTGTATTACATTTTCAAACGTTTGAACTCACAAACAACAATCTGCACATTTGAATGTAATCACATAAATACAAAATAAACTAGTAAACTATATTATAAATATTTTGTCAAAATGTCAAGTTATTGTAGTAATTAACACTAAAAAATTAAAAATTAATTATCAAAAAATAATGATGTGTACCTAGATACTGTCCGTTTTTACCTATTTTAGATTCTGAGCTATGAATGTATTAATTTTACAATGCTGTTAGTTCTTTTTGCGTTTGTCATCGCCTTTTGGGACTTGGTAAAAATGTGAACATAAATTCAAAGAAATCGATGAAGTAGCAACTATAGTTGTAAGTAATAATTTATTACTATTAAGTATTAACTATAAATAATATAGGAGCAAGCCTAAGTTCGGATATTTTGCATATTCTATTAGGTACTTATATGTAGGTATACATTATGTGTTTTTCTGCCTTTAAAATATAAATGATAATTTATATAATGTATTATAAGCGTATACCTACATAAGTATACTCTGTAAAATTGCGTTCGTTGGTATAGCTGTCTTTCTACCTCCCTCCCATTTTCTCAACATATGCACAAGCATAAGTTTGAACTGTGTATGTGTG